TTACACTGCTTTTAGGAAAATTTTATCGGTTATACTTTGTTGCTCCTACCAAATAAGCATTGTTATCAATAAAGTGTTTTTCCAATGTTTAACTAGTATAAAAATTTTCGGTGTAAAGACAGAATCCTTTACCTATATAGCTTTCTATTAAAACAGCTGGAATCCTTTTGGTTTGTGGCATACCAGAGTTTGGATCATCTGCATGAAACATTCCTTTTCCACAATAAATAAGAAAATCTAATGTTACACTATCTGAAATACATAAATCATAGGGTTTGATGTCAAACCTGGCATCATATCTCCTTAATATTTGTATAACTAACTTTTGTAAAATCGCCGGCTCTATACATTTTTTGAAACTTTGTATTTTTAGAAGGAAAAGTGCTAAAACCGGGTTTTTTTTGCCGACTAGACAATTTAATCTAGTTGCTAATTAACTCAGAATTTAACTTAAATTTAATTTAATTAAAAAAATTAAATTTAATTTAATTAAAAAAATTTAATTTAGTATAAATAAAACTTAATTTAATTTAAAAAATTAGTTAATTTAACTAAGAATTTAAAAAGCTAATTAACTCAGAATTTAACTTGGCAGTCCTAGCACAAAGTGTCAATATTTAATTTTTTACATGTACCGCTAAGCGGGTCACCGGGAAATTTTCACAATTTTTATGTACGCAGTGCGGTTAACCGGCAGTGAAAGGGCAAGAAAAGTTTATGAAACTTGAATCGGAGAAGCTTGTAATGAAAGATCAAAAGAAATCATCCAAAATCTTGTGAACAATATTTCAAGTTGCATATTTAAAGTCATCAAAAATTCAGAAAACAATATTAAATATTAAATGTAAAAACAAAATATTTTTAATATTTTCTTGTAAATAATGTACATGAGACTGTTTTCACCACAATTTTAATACTTTTTTTATTTATTTATAACTAATTAAACATTAAAATTTCAAAATTTTCCAATATTAGTAGAAGATAAGAAGAAATAAATTAGATTTGAAAATTGTTTCATTGCTTTTTTTGTTAAATTAGAATGAAAAATAATGGTGACGCTATTTCTATTTTCTCGACTGTTTAATAATAAATGGCCGGAAAAAGACACAGTCTAACCGAGTTCGGTTAAGATTGTCCCCGTAAGTTTAATACAATGTTATTAAATACATCTACTAAAAATATTAATGATATTATATAAATAAATAATAGTATAAAATTTGTATATCACAAAAAATATATAATTAAGACAAAAATAAGTGAGCTGTAATGAATTTTCTCTAGTTAAACTTTGTGTACTTCTTAAAAATATATTTTTTTAAATCAAATTCTCTTTCTAATGAGAACCGTTTAGATTCTTTTTTGAATTGTTCTGAAAATTATTTTAAAACAGTTTTATTTTTAAAAATATTTTCAAAAAATTTTTTTGAAAATATTTTTAAAAATAGACTTTGTAGAACGATTTTCGAATTATCATTTGAAAAATTTTGTGAAATAATTATAAGAATTTTGCAAAAGTAAAAATGAAATATATTAGGAGATATATTAGGAGGTATACCACCTTTTGTTTTAAACATTAACATCAAAACTTGTATATTTAGTTTATAAACTGTATATTTAGTTTATAAACATTAAGAGTATTAAGTTCCCTTAAAAGAGATTCCCAATTTACCGTTCTGCAAACGCCAAATGCCATCCTGCATGCATTTCTTTGCTTACTATAGATTTTTTTTAGCTTACTGAAATTGGTAATTTCCTATTTAATTTAATTTAATTATGACATTTAATATGTAAGATAACTATGAATTAATAAAAAGTAAAATGTCCACAAAATAAAAAAAGCAAAAAAATTCAATTCTTTCTCAATTATTTTTAATTTTATTTCAAATCTGTCAAATAATAACTTATAACTCTATATAACTCTTATATTTCCTTGCATGGAAAATTGTTGTCATGTTTGATATTAGGAAAAGAAAAAATACCGCGAACCGTTTTAAAAAAAGTCTCCAACAGATTGTTTAAAGTTTTATTTTGGTTTTATCAGAAAGCTATAAAGATAAAAGCGCTAGCATTTTGTGTGACAACAAAATTAAATAACATCGTCATATGGCACAAGTATTAAAAAAGATAAGTAAAATATATATATGTATATATATATATATATATATATATATATATATATATATATATATATATATATATATATATATATATATATATATATAGTGTTGTAATAGTACTGCTTCAAATACTAGTAAAAGTATTTGCATCGCGTGCTTCTCAAACAAAAACTGGATATGAAATGCTTATTTTTGCTTGGTGTTATCATGTCAACGAACTAATATTAAAAATTGAGTTTGAAGCGAAAACCAGCCAAGTAACTACAAGCCCAGACATTCCAGTCTTTAAAATGTTCCGAGAAAATTTGAAAAATGTCAGTGCTGAAAAAATAAAAATCTGTACAAAAATATTATCTTGTTTAGATGTTCTAGAAAATTCTAACAGTTTATCAATTTCTAGAAATTGATAAACTGTTAGAATTCTACCGACTTGAATTGATTAAAGAAATAGCTAGAGATGACTATCGTAAATTATTTGAGTTGTCAATAATATTTCTTGGTGTAGATACAGAGAAGAAATATAAGATTTGGCCTCCAGTTGCTATGCATCATGCTCAGTGGATGGTTACAGCCATTTATTCGTTAAAAATATCATTACTAAGATTCCAATTCAAAATTTTAAACAAGGATAAAACAGCTCTGTGGGATGTCTATCTGTTTATCGTGACATTCTACGTCATACTCTGGCTTCAATGAATTTTATCAGTGAAAGCACCTTATTAGAATTTATGCTTTTTGTAGTCCATAAAAGCTTACAAAACAATAAACAAAAACATTTTCAAATCAGCTTTATAAAATTTTTGCCAGCATTTATGGTATTTAAAAGATGAAGTGTCTGTTTTGTCTTCATTTGACAATAATGTCAATCAAGAAACTAAAATAAAACGGTTGCTAATTTAGCTAAAGAAAAGCCATCAACCCACAAAAAACGTTACATTGCATCCATAGAAGAACTTTGTGAAACACCTTTTGGTATGTCCTATTAGTAAATTACGCTTCCATTTTCTTCTATATTTTACCGTACAATTGCTAACCGTTCCATCTGTTTTAATATCAGAGAAAAATATTGATGACTTCGTCAAAATCAAGTTCCTATTTAATCAACTCAAAATTGATGCAAGTTTTCTGTAGAAGAGACCTTCTTTATGGTCAAATAATAATTAGTTCCAACTAGATAAAGGGAAGCTATTAACACTGAGAGCAGCTAATGGTACGACAGAAAGAGCCTTTGAATTAATGCAAGACTTTTATGGTTTAATTATTCTTGAAAAGGAGAAAAAGCAATTTTTATTACGTTTTGTACAAGAACACAGAAACGTATATTGTAACCTGATTGTAAAAAGCAATCTTTCAAAAGAAAATTTAATGGTTAGTGTGTTTTTTTACTATAAATATATATTAAATATTATAAGTTTGTTTTATTTACTAAATATAAACAATGAACTTTGCAATGTTTCTATAGTTTCAACTAACTATTCAATTTAAACTTTAACGTAAAGTCAGTTTTAAACTTTGACGTAAACTTACAATTTTATCTTAAACTTTTGACGTCAACTTACAACTTTGTCTTAAACTTTTGACGTCAACTTACAACTTTGTCTTAAACTTTTGACATCAACTTAAACTTTGAAATTAAGTCAAGTCAAGGGTTATCGTTATTCGATCTCAATAATATTTAGTATTTAAGTTTTTTGGAGTCAAATGAAAAAAAATAGAGGGTATGCGTTTTGAAATTCGTAAAAAAGCCCCTATGGGACACCCTGTAAAAAAATTTTATTGAAAAAAGCATATTAAAAATCTACCTACTAATCTAATCAAAAAGTATAAGAATATTGTGCAAAGCAAGAATTGTTTTAAATAAACACACTTTAGTTGGATTATAATACTCTTTTATTTATTGTTACATAAACTATTCAAACATTGCTAGGGGTGGTACTAACGAAAGTAAACTTAAAACTCGTTATTTTTTACAGAAGCATGTAGCATGTCTTATATATTTCATAGATCGTGATACTCATGTGAAGCCTAGTTAAAATAAATATTTATTATACATATGAGCTTGATATTATTAATGTTTTTTAACTCATATTTAGACGAAAAAATAATTTGTCTAAAGTTTCTTTTTACGATTAGATAAAAAGTTTACGCAACGATAACTTTACAGCTCTTTTTCAAACAAATTTTTGTAAACTTCCCATTCATTTTACTAAACTTTGCAATCATTTTAGTAAATTTTGCATTCATTTTTGCGGAACATTTTTTTAAAACAAGATAGTTTAAAATCTTTCCTCAAGTTTTTTTCAGCAATCCAATACGATTCTTTGATGAATTCATTTTACAAATATTGATATATTAATATACTTTTAATAACTTTCAGAAGAAAGATTATCATTAAAAGAACCACCTTAAATATGACAAAAGTAAAATATACAGAGGCAAATATTCCAAACAGTGGCAAATATTCTACACAGTGGCAAATATTCCAGACGGGGGCAAATATTCCATACCGGAGCAAATAAGAGATTTGTATAAATAGACAATGGACTGGGAAAGAAATGTCAAGAACCGTAAAAAGAGGCAAATTTATCAGATGCTACCTTTGCAATTGGTCTTAAAAATGACTTTTATGAAAGTAAAATAAATGATTTTTATGAAAGTAAAATAAATGATTTTTATGAAAGTAAAATAAATGATTTTTATGAAAGTAAAATAAATGATTTTTATCAAAGTAAAATAAATGATTTTTATGAAAGTAAAATAAATGATTTTTATGAAAATAAAATAAATGATTTTTATGAAAGTAAAATAAATGATTTTTATGAAACTAAAGAAATTCAGTAAGGATGTTAAGAATGTTATGATTATATTAACTCTTTATCAGTGTTACCATTCATCAAGGTAGGATTATCAGCAGTATTGCAATAATTATTAGAAGTAAATAACTCGAGTTTTCTAGGAGTTAAAATTCACAAATCACTGCAACCTGTCATAGATGTGATATTAGATGTGAGGTATTTGTATATGTTTATATATGGGTGTTTATATGTGATACATGCTATACATGATTTTAGGATTGGCTGCCTCTTTTATGTTACTTTATTCGGCTAAAAGAACAACTACTCAAAAAAATTGTTTGTGTTAGTAGCTGTACTTTTACCATCCTCCATTCTGCAATGTTACAATGTTCTCGGTATCCTTTGAATGGGTAAACGTGTTATTTTTTAAAAACGTTTGGTTTTTTTTTTTTTAACTATCATAACACCATTTTTTTGGCATCGCTCTTGACTGATCTTGATATATTACAGTTTTAGATAGTGTTGCTCTAGGGAAAGTAGGGATGTTCACCGCCCGACATCTATATACTAAATACGCTTAGTTTAGTTAAAAAGTTTCAATTAATTCTTACTTTTTTTTGTTTCTTTATTTGCTATAAATAAAAATGAAAAAAATTATTAAATTTTAGTCTATCTTGCGTTGTTTAGTTTATGAGATTGATGATAAAATTATTACGTTATCAAAATCACTAATTGATTCCCTTTTGAGCCATCTTTTTTTATTTTTAATGAAAAAGTCTAGTATAAAAGTTTTATTGAAATAATATTTAAAAAGTTGTTTTCAGTATTTTAGCTTCAAAATTACAAATGCCTCAAACCACCTTTGAGTTTTGTGATTTGATCCCAGAAAATGTCATTACATAATTTTGATTCGTTACAGTGTATTGGTTTGTGTTTGATATTTCACAAAAATTAGAAAAACCTAATTAATTTTCAAAGAGGACAACTTAGGTTATAAAGTTTACAACTTAGGTTATAAAGTTATAAGTTTTAAAAATCCTTAGTGCAAAAGAAAAGCAAAGTTTTTACTTTTTTTTATTATTTTGTTTAATCAACAATCATAAACATCATGGTGCACTTTTAATGAAGTTTTCTTTAGTTTTTACATCTTGTGCTTTTAAAACGATGTTATGATGTAGTTTACATATTAATCTTTTAATATGTAAACTACATCATAACATCATTTTAATATGAATTTTTTAAATATTAAATTATAGATAATTTACAAATTAAAACATTAAAAAAAAAAAAATGTCAAAATCTATTTTTTGTTAACAACTTTGCCTTAACATCCCTTGACACCTATTTTTTGTAAAACTATTGTCGATAATTACAATTATTGTAATATATACTTTTTTATATTTGTTAGAGTTGTTTATAGTAGATTTCGAGTATAAAAAGGATTAATGGAATTTTGTAAAACTGATGTATTAAAGATGTTTTGTTTTTGGAATGACGCAATATTGTTTTTGATCATATTTCAGTTTTTATGTTTAAAATTATTTGACTGAATTTTGTAAATTTTATTACGTCAAAGTTGTTTTTGTTATAATTGAAGTTGCTTATTTAATTTTCGTCTTATTTTAATCCACCTTCCTTTAAAATTCTTTAACAAGCTGTGCAGCTGAACAAACGTAAAGCCTCTTGACATTGAAATATAAGAGATAAAATTTATAAATTTATTACAACATAAACATTAAGGAGCAGTTCTTAACACATTAATAAGTACTCTCAATAAACTTTTACCTTTTAATTTTATTTTTTATTACTATAAGTTTATGTAAATACTTTTTAAAAAATTTGAAACGCTCTAATAGTCTCTCTTTTTAGAAAACAATGAAGTGTATTGCTGTAATTATGACTTTGTTAGTTGCTGCTTATGCAGGTAAGTTTGTTTTTTATAACTTTCGTTAAAATTGCCAGTTGAAATTATCTATTTAGCATTAATAAAGCTATATATATATATATATATATATATATATATATATATATATATATATATATATATATATATATATATATATATATATATATATATATATATATATATATATATATTAATATATATATATAATAAATTTCAGAAAGAAAGTGCAACCAAATATGCCCAACGATTTGGGCACCAGTTTGTGGTCACGACGGAAAAACATACGCCAGTGAGTGTATGTTAAAAGCTAAATCTTGTCTTAGTCAGAAGCCTATAGTTCAAGTGTATGGTGGCGAATGCAACCTTGAAGGTAAATAACATTATTATAATAAATAACATTTTTTTAGTTTTATGCAAAATTTTAACTGTTAAATATATCTTTTTTTTATCAGGCAAATGCAACTTTGCTTGCAATAGAATGTATGCTCCTGTTTGTGGTAGTGACAAAAACGTTTACTCAAACGAATGTGTTATGAGACAAGCTGCATGCGAACAAAAGAAAGCTATTATAGTTGTTCGAAGCGCGTTTAAAAGTGCCGATTGTAAATGTAAGTAAATTCTTGAAAATATTTTCAAACTTTTTTAAAGGTAATATGCTACATACGGTAACATTTTTACTGTAAACTGTGTATAAAATAGAAGATGTTTACAGTAGAAATAATTTAAGTACAAATGTTTAAAGTAAAAAAACGTTTATAGTAGAATTTACTCAAAAAAATAAGATAAAAAATATAATAAAATGTTAAAGCAGAATAAAATCTTGTCTAACAACATACTATAATACCATAAACTCTTGGCATAAATTAGTATAATTATATTACCATTTTTCTTAGAAAGACATTTATCAAAGCTTTATATGAAAAAAACAACTTCACAATGGATTTAACTGGAATAAAAAACAATGGCGTATTATTTACAAAATTATTTATTTATTAAAACGAAATTTATTTCACCTTTTTTGGTTATGCAATTAAAATCTAAAAGTTATTTTTATTGTTTATAGTTTTTAAAAAGATTTTTACATTGAATTTACATAACAAAGTTTTCCATTCTATGGCCGATCCATAGGGGAAGCAATGGGGGCAATCGCCCAACCTCCTTCTTTAGATATTTTAAAAAGAATTTTTTTTTGTAACTTTATATATTTAGCTATGCAATTGTTTGAAAATAAAATAATTGTTAAGTAAATTGGGGAGAAGTTTTTATTTATTTACGCTTTCGCCGATAAAAAAATTTATTAACTAAGTGTTAAAACAAGTTTCGATTTTTAGATTGGATAGTAGATCACGTAGTTGGTCACGTGATTGGATTGACTCTTTTAAATCTCTTATATTATATATATTGCTTCTTTAAAAATTTCCATTCTTGGTAGCATAATTACTTTTTCCATGTCTGTCGCCAATATTATTTCTTGTGCACAAACAGTTCGATCAGCATCAAGCCTATATTTTTTCTGGTTTGTCCGACCCTTTTCATGTGAATATCCCGTGTTATGCAATCTGTACAATCTGGAGTTAATTTAAAATAATTATTTTCTCCACAATGTGTTAAGAACTGAAGGCATGTGTTACACATGTCTTCTTCCTTTGTTTGATAAAAATTCCGCAAAACATCTGGGGCTAGTTGTAAAATAGTTGCTCTAAATATTGTGTGGTCTTTTTGCTATATTTGGATGAAAAATTGAAGTAATTTACTTGTTATTGTTTCATAAAGCGTTTTGAATGCCACTTTCATCAACAAAAAAGGCTGTCTACGTTTTCTCCGACAAAAAATACAACACAAATATTTTTTTTTTTAATTATTCTTTTTTTTCCAATCCATAATACAATTTAGATGATAAAGTTTATATATAGATAAATGTTTTAGTGGCAAATCTCTTGAAAATTATAAACTTTAAAATATATGTAAAATAGTGTTTTTCTCGAAATACGTAAAAAGCAACTTAAGGCGTTTTGAAAAACGACTGTAGATTTATTTGAAAAATAAGAAGAAACATTTTATTGTTAGAGCAGTTTATAGTTAAATTTATATAATTATATTTGTAATACTTTTCATTGCCAATTAAGTAAAAGCAAATAAACAGGTAAAAATAAAAGTAAAATATTAATAAATAACGCAAAATTAAAAATAAATTTCTCAAAAAGAAGATTACCATTTCAAATAATAAAATATATGTACATATGTTGAATATGTATTAATAATCTTAAGTAACTAATAAAATAACTATTAATTATTGATTTCTAATTTAAAGAAGCTTTATTAGAAGAAATTTTAATCATTTTCAGTTAACAAAAGTAATTGCTTATGTTTTTGTTTTGAATTGGTTTACAGAGTAATTAGTTTTCATTATTTAATATTATGTTCCACAACTTTGGTCCTCGGTTTACAAATTAATCATTAGAAGTTAATCAGGAAGGCTGTTCAAATGTGATAAAAAAATTTCAAGATTTCAGTTTTTTACTTGTGCACAAAAAGTCGAACTGATGGGATTTCGATATAAATGCGATAACGTAATTATATTGGTTTAATGGGGTAATGCAATTTATTATCAATTAGTCTTAATATTACAATTAGTCTTAATATTAGTCTTTCACTGTCTAGATTAAGACAGTGAAAGACTAATATTTTAAAAAAGTTACTAAAAAATCTGAAAATGGCCCTTCCTCACAACTATATTAGATAGTTTACATCAACCAAATCAAACTACCCCTCCCCCATCATTCTTTTTAAGTTAAAAAATTGCCCCTCTCAACTCTTACTAGATAGTCTGGTTCCATTTGAACAATATTTTACAAACAAATAAGCTAGAAGTTTAAACAAAACTCAAACAAGCAGCTTGAGATAAAACTTAAGTAGCAATTTGTTCAGTTTAAAGAGCCGATTACTGAATTAAGTTTTAAATAAATGTTTCCAGACATTCCGAAAATACAATAGTAGTCTTTTCCGAAAATACAATAGTAGTCTTTTCCGAAAATACAATAGTAGTCTTTTCCCAAAATACAATAGTAGTCTTTTCCGAAAATACAATAGTAGTCTTTTCCGAAAATACAATAGTAGTCTTTTCAGTAATACCAGGAGAAAAAAAATTGAGTATAAGAGCTGATTTAAAATAAAAAGTTATAAAAAGAACCATTTGTTAAAGTAATTAATCAATAACTATTTTAGAGTTATTTTTATACTGTTTTTGTTAATAACAAAAAGAACAGAAAATGTTCGATTTATAAATGCCAAATAAAAATAAACTAATTAATATAAAAATACATATTTCTTTTCAGCTTGTTTATTCCCATGTACAAGCGAATATAAACCAGTATGTGGATCAGATGGAAAAACCTACGCCACAGAATGCGTTATGAGAGGTGCTGCATGCAAGGACGAAAAAGCTATTATTGCTGTTAGCAATGGACCATGCAAAGATAAATAAAATCTTCTAACCTGATTCACTTTCCATTATTAGTGTTCAAAATTTATTTAATATAGATTATTTGGTCTTTTCATTTATTTTTGTTTTACTATTTTTACTTTTTTTTTTTTTTACTATTTTTACCTCATGAACTTAATGTTGCAAAATTTATTACAATATGCAAATGTAATGATTATTCGGACATTTCAATACTTTCTTTTTTTTTTTCAAAACTCTTTGAACAATTAATTTATAATACAGTTTACGATCTCTAAACTAAAAACTTTTTTTCACCCAAATCAGTTTGGCTTTCAAAAAAATCTTTTAAGTGAACATGCAATCATTAAAAATAGCTAATTAAAAACATTTGATGCTGTGATCCACTGTATCTTCCTAGATAAACTAATGCATTACAAGAAAATCTTTTAAAAATTTTTATTGGAATAAAATCTTGTTTTATCTGGAGTATTAAATATCTAATGTGCAGACCCTCAGCGATTAATTCTTGGTATATTCCTGGTTTTAATTTATAAATGATTTTTGCAATGCATTAATAAAACTGAATTCAGTTATGCTAGCTGATAATACAATTTTTTTTTTACTGAGATCAAACAAGTATATAGGCATACGATTATTGAACTAGATAAATTCAATACACAAAGCCTTAAACTAATATGCCTGGAACATTGTTATTTACCTATAATTTTTTATGATTAATTATTTTTATAACATATATAAGGTATGAATTGTATTGTTTAAAACAAGTTTTTATATTTATTAACACTTTTGACTTTACCGACCTCAATTAAATGCAGCATAAAAGACGCAATCACATTTTGTTTACTTTTTATCAAAATCTTACAAATCGATATACATGGTATGTATGAAGACCCCACGGGAAGGAAAGCTAGGGCCTAAAAAATAGAAATGCCACGAATATTCGGTGATTATTTGGTATTCGGCCTATTGGACTACTTTTTTTAGTATTCGGTTCTCGGCCGAATATTGCTAACTATTCGGCTGAATACCGACCAAATTGTAACAAAAAAAAAGCATAAAATTATTTATTTTTTATTTTAACAAATAACTAGCATATTTGATACTTAAAATTTATCGAAGTTATGATAAGATATTTTCATTGTTTGACGATAACAAATGATTGCAATTTTCTCATAAATTATACATACTTTTAAAAATAGCCAATCACAGCGTACCCTGCCACCAGCAAATAATAAGAAAGTTTTAGCAAGTTCTGTTAAAGTTAACTTAACAGAACTTGCGCTTTGCTTTTTGATTTTTTGCGTTTTTAGTTTTGCGTTTGCTGACAACAACTTGTAAGGGTTTGCTGTCCAATTTATGCGAACAGTTTCATGTTAAAACTAATACCATTTGCAATTAAATTTTTTTTTCCACATCTTCATATATGTGCATATTTTTTCCACATCTTCATATATGTACATACTTTTTTTTCCACATCTTCATATAAGTGCATATTTTTTTTTCCACATCTTCATATATGTGCATATTTTTTCGAAAAGATTAGTTTTCATTTGCATTTGCATTACATTCGAAAAGATTGTTTGGATTTACATTTCTTTTACTTACAAAGTGGAGCTGAATCATCACCGGTGCTACTAGTTATCGGTGATGGTTGTCAAGCAGTCTTTCGATGAGAAGGATTAACCTTTCACTGACTTAATCACAAAGCATTTAAATTTTTTTCGTTTTGTTTGTTGTGTTTTAACTAACCGCTTGAAATTGTTTTTGGAACGTGCATTAATAAAAAAGGCAACCGTATAATTTACATTTATAATAAAGTTAAACCTTGCTTTAAGCTCAGGTTGTTGTGAAGATATAGTTTTTAATAAGTTTAGAGTTTTTTTTTGCTATATTTATTTACAACAACTTCTAAAATTTCTTTCAGATATGCAAGATATACCTGAACTGGTTATTTTTGTATGATTTTTTGTTTTGTAATCTTTTTGTATGGTTTGAAGTGTGTGACGCATTATTTGTTGAGTTTTACAATTTGATGTAACACTCAATAATTAACGCGTGCACAACCTAGCCATAAACAAAATAAAAACGGCCATCTCAATGAAGCATATATATTCGGTACTTCCCCCGAGCGCCTAGCTGAATATTCGGTATTTGACAAAATCACTTAATAGGACTGATAATGCATGACTAAATTAGAATTTTCGTTGTTGATGGTAGAATATGGCTTTAGCCGGCATTGAATCTATAATTTTTGATCAAGCAATAATGGGGCGTACGCTAAGACGTGTTTTTCCAAATTTTTTGAAATAAATAAAAAAGTACGTATTGATTCAAAAAAATTTAGTAAATTTATTGATGATTTTTGTACTGAACTCTCTTTACTTTAGAGCAAAGCTGCGCCTAGATTTAAAGCCTATAAATATTTTAGATAGTATTCGATGAAATATAGAAACCCGTTTCAGAATAGTTCCTTTTGTTATTTAAGAATTATCGAATACTTAGTAACTTACTAGTATTGAAAATGTGAAACTAAATTGGCAGAAAAGAACAGTAAAATACTTACAAGAAAAGCTGATAATCGTCTAAATGCCGTCTAAGAAAGACAGCAAATTTTTCTATATTTATATTTAAAGAGTATACTTTTGGATACGCTAAAATTCTTTGGTTTATGATGTGATTTATTTGTTCTAAAAATATTAGTTTACTCTATGAAATAAAACCTTTCTTAGATCAATCTTGCTCAAAATACCTTTTGTATTAAAATCTTATTTCAAATGTATTCCTTTCAATTATGCTCTTATTCAATTATATTGCAACCTCATTTCAATTATATTCTTACCTTAATTATGCAAAAAATGCTTGTTGCAGCACAAAGCGATAGGACAAACTTGTTTTCTTTTTGTCGTTACCATCTTTGTAAGACGGCAAAGACAAAAAGAAGAAAAATTTATCTTTTCATCAAGGTCCTTATTTACCTTCACACACCAACACACGCATACATACACACACACACACACACACACACGCGCGCACACACACGCACACACACTCACACTTATACATATACATTTTAGCTAAAAATAAAAAATGAGAATTTTGTAGAGAAGAATAATAGGTATGCATTAAACATATGTATTTTATTAAACAATCGTTTTGATTGTGATTGACGGCGCACGTTTTGTAAAAATGTAATTGAATGTTTTTTCTTTGTTTAGTAGTTTTTTTAACTTAGTTATAATGGCGCGGCACCAAGCAATTTTTGCATAATTAAGATAGGAATGAATAAACAAGAAATTTTAAATATAATTGATCGAAAAAAAGTTTTATTTTATAGAGTAAAACTTACTGTTATAAATTTTATTTTCAACCATGCTTACATGATTCTACCAAGCAGGGGTGGATGCAGCATTTTTTTAGTGTTTGATAGCTATATCAAACACCAAAAAACTTTCAAGTGCTCCAAATTTCTATAAGAAAAAAAAGGCAGCTTTATAATTTAGCAATATTTGTACAAGCAATGTACAAATACTGCAATGAATACATTGAAGGTGTACATTTCATTTATATATCATCAGAAGATTTAACTTTGGTGAGAAACACTCTTAAAGAACGATTGGATACTGCAAACACTATACCTGGAATACGTAATTACCATCAGTTTGTATCACTTAGCCATCATAAAGTAAAAAAATATATATTTAATATACCTTTTATTATCTTTCAAAAACATGCAAAATTTTTATTGATAAACTCGAATAGACTTTTTATTTGTGTGGAATCTGTTTGGAATTGTGTAGGAGAAAGTATAAATGTTTATATTTAAACTAATTTCAAGTTTGCTGAGTCTAATATATCTTATTCATACTTTTTTTTAATCTTTTTTTTTTTTGTACACTTTAAAAATAATGTGAATGAAAAGCATATATAAAATCACTTAAATTGAGTATATAGTTTTCAAAAGGTTTTTTTATACATTATAATTTTGCTGTAAAAAATTAATAAAAAAATAAAGTTATTAAACTGTTACTTTCTAATTTGATTAACTTGTAAAAATCCTAAAATAAACTACATTGTCTTGCATCGAGAGATAAAAAAACTAAAGTTTTCAGATTTAGCAGGTTTTAAACTTTTTTGGTACCAAGTTTTAACATCGCAGCATTACTAAAAGCACCGTATAAGGGTAATAATAAACAGAAACATTTTTGGCACTTTACTCCCTCATTTTTCAGTCAAAATCAAACAAGTTTCAAGTAGCTGTAAATCTTAAACGGATTTAAAAAAAAAACTTACAGTCTTTCCAAAGGTATGTTTCTAAACACTTGTGCCAAATTTCAAAAAATTTGGTGATGTAGGGTGCAAATTTGTGTTGTTTTATTTGTGTGTTTTGAAAAACTTTTACCCTTTTTTTATGTAAAAAGAATCTATAATTGCCAAAAGATTTAATGAGGTGTTTGTCAATCCAGGTTTAAGTTTAGCATCAAAGTTAAAACACAGTGAGTTTAACAAAGAGAAATACTTGACTCCTAATAAATCAATTATGGAAAATGCTGAGGTACTGAAAAAAAAATTAAATGCTATGCATTTATTAAAATTAAACAAAGCACAAGTACTTGATAATGTTAGTAGTAACGTTGTAGTTAAATTTATTTTCTTTATTAAAAAAGATCTTTTGCATATATTTAATCTTTCGTTTAAACAAGGATTCTTTCAAAAAAAAACTTAAAATTCCAAGGGTAATACCAGTTTTTAAATCTGAAGATGATACTAATATTTCCAACTATAGCCTTGTTTCCGTTCTGCCTTGCTTCTTGAAAATACTAGAACGCTTTATGTATAACAAATTATACTCATTTTTAGAAAAAAATAATATTCTTTATAACAAACAATTTGGCTTCAAAACAGGGCACTTCACTGATCATGCCATTCTTCATCTATTTCAGATTATTTTTCAAGGTTTTGACAAATACAAGTTCACTTTATGTGTTTTCATAGATCTTAGTTAGGCGTTCGACATTGTTTAT